AAAGAGACGTTACCTGTAAATAAGCTCCAAAAGGATAATGAGGAGAAAGGTGGAAAGCAGGGAGAAGAGAATCCTTCAAGAAGTCCTCCAAGGAGAATGTTTGGAGATATCCTCCATTGTTAAAGATGGTAAACATTACAGGAAATCTCATGAAAACTGCAAACTGATCTTGACACCTAAAATTTAGAAAGTCCTCAGTAACTGGTAAGGAAAAGCAGAATTAGGGGAAGTTGGTTAAGTGAAGTTTTGCAAGTGTGTTGAAATGGATGTGGATACAAGAAAAGTTGGAGCATGTAGGGAAGTGAATGGTGGCCCTAAGTACATTCTGGTTACAACCACCAGAAAATTGCAAGTGGAGAACATACATGTATTTTCACCTAGAGCCTTTGTGTCTTGGTTACTTTTCTCTCCTTGCTGAGACAAAATACCTGAGACTCCAAATTAAAGAAGGGAAAGGTTTATTTAGCTCACCATTTGTGGTGGTTTCAGTCTATAAGCAGCTGGGTCCAAGGCAGGAGTGGGGCACAGGAGCAACAGTTCACGGCAGCAGAAGACAGCAAAAGCAGAAGAGCAAAAGTGAGGTGGAGGAAGTGAGCCTCTTTTCCTCCCTTATATTGTATGCTGGCTATCCTCCCACACCATCTCTGGGCCCTCCTCTTGCACAGGCTCATGATGTAAGGACCCTGGCTCCCTGCTGAGTTGCTTAGTTAAACTTCTAAACTTCTCAGGTTGACACAATGAATACTAGTCTAGAGGGCAAGGGCTTGTCTTTTACACCCCAGGATGTAGAACTGTTGAGTTGCTTAGTTAAGCTTCTAGACTTCAGGTTGAAACAATGTATCAACCATTACACTTTAGAAGAAGTATGACCATACCAACACCTTGATTTCCGATTTCTGGCCTCCAGAATTTTGAGAGGATAAAGTTCTGTTGTTATAAACCACACAGCTTCTGTTAATTTGTTACAGCCACTACAGGAAACCAATACAAAAGGGCCTTTGGGAGACAATAGGGAGATAACGATGGAGATGGGATTTGACAAATGGTTGCAAAATTAAATGTTCTCAGAGAGAGGTAGGTAGAGAAAATGGTTGAAAATGAAGTTGAGAGAGGGAAAAACTGATGAATGTGAGATTATATGCTCAACCTCCAAAATCAACCACCAGATAATATTTCTACACACCTGTTCCATTCCTCACACCTAATTACCTATCTATCATATTTATTGCAACAGGCGATATTTCTGCCATAGGCAACATGTTCTGTCCAAAGTTTGTAAGCTATTAGCCCATAGGAGATAGCTATTCTTATGGATCATTTAAAAACAATTATCGGAAACTGCATGTAGTCAAAATGAGTAGTGTCAGTGCCCCCTTTTTCATTTTCTCAAGAGTGCCAGATATTGGGAGAGCACATTCCACTTGACATTGCCCTGGTAAGTCCTTTGCTAGTGATTTTAGGGTGGAGGTGAAGTGAGGCCAATCTCTGTGCTCTGTCTTTATTACCAACCTCCTTGCCCATCAAGTTACCCTTGTGACCCGTCATGAATATACAGTGAATATGACTCACCTGGGCTCATCAGAGCACAAAGTATGTACAAGGAAATACCACTGCTCTCAGTATGATTATTAGGTTCCTTATCAATATGATAATCCCTAATGTTTGGCTCAGACTTGAAAATCTTTGACTTGATCAATGAACTTGATAAGGTATATAATTTGTTAAGGGTATTATTTTTATTCTTTTTTTGTCACACCCGGGATTAAACTCCATGGCATTCTATCTCCAAGCTACAAACTCAGGCCTTTTTATTTTTTATTTTGAGACAGAGTCTTGCTAAATTGTCCAAGCTAGGCTTGAACTTCGATTCTCCTGCTTGAGTTTTTGAGTATCTGGGATGACTGGCATTCATCACCACACCTGGCTAAATATATTCTTTAATTTGCTGCTTCTTGTTCTAAGTGTTTAGTGCTTAGTACATAGGTCTCTTATGCGTTCTTTCAGTTGACAACAGATAATTCCTTTTAAAAAATTACTTTTCTTAGTGGCCCAATAAATATCAACAAATCCAATGAGATAATACATTTCTTAATTAAAATATGTCTGATATGAACACTGGCTTAATAGAATTACCTTTGGGGGTAGAGCTATCTATCCCAGAATGTTGCTCTGCTTGTATTTAAATATAAAGCAATAAAACAGAATCCTGTTCTCATTTCATGTGTCAGTGTATTTATATGTGTATGTGTGCAAGGAATGATTTTTTTCATATGGAACACTTTATTTCAGAAGGCATTGCAAGCAACCTTGAATATGCAATGTAAAGGTATACAGCCTCTTCAAATTCTACATCTTTTTGCCTCTATATTCAACTACGTACAAACACAAACTCCAGTTCTTATGTAGTGCTTAATTGTACAGATTCCATAAAAATCACTTAATATAAAGAAAACAAATACTCTTTTTTATTGCTACACTAAATACTTTTGCCAGCGAATGCTTTTGGGGGTGCTTTTTTATTTATGGATTTTTCACAATGCCTAAGAGCTTTTGTCTTTTTTAGTGTTTTATATTTATAGTTGTGGGATGATCATTTTCTGGTTGGTTTCACATGGAGCTCTTTCAGAACTAGTTGGAGTAGTAATAGTTTTATACGCTTTATACTTTTTCCCCCTGAGTCCAATGTTAAATCTTCTCACTCTATCACTGACATTGCAGTATATTATGCTATACATTCCTATGCTATTAACTTTGGGCACAGCTAATGATTTTCTTTTTGTATATATACAGCACATAAAATGTTACTTATTAAAATAGAAAAACTCAAAATATAATCAACCCTAGCAGCAAAAGAAAAAAAAAAAAGAGCAGGAGTTTTTCTTTTTCCAAAGTGAGATTGCAAGAAAGAAATGGTTTTGCAAACTTTCAGTGCTGGAAACAAAAGTGAATTATAAAAGACCCCTAAAGGGAGAGATTTTGTTTTCTTAAAAAACAACTTGCTTGCTATTCCATTCCTACATTCAAAAATTTTCAAAAGTCAACACATTTGAAAAATTAGTGCTAGAACATAACAGATTTCTTAACTAAAAGAAAATGCTTGTGCTTCTGAGAAGGTAGAAGGGAAGACAAGGTGGAGGATTCACAAAGTCCCTTAGAATCTTGCCCCTTGTGCTCATGGACTTGTCAAGAAGCTCTCAGGTGTAGCTCACCTTGAGTTCTGGAAGTTCAGCACCTGGGAGAATTTAACCCAGAGGTGATAATGTACAGTATAAGTGGAGAACAAACTCTCTTGGGAACAAAATATAACACAAAAGATTTTAAGGGACAGGATGATTCAGAAATGACCTTTGAATACAAGAAATGAAGTGATTGGAAAAAAGCAACCAATATTTCCATTTGAAAAATGAGGGTTGCATAGTCCTAAAATGAAGACAAAAACTAAAACTGAAAAAAAAAAAGAAAAAAAGCCAAATAAACCAAAATCAAGTCAAACCAAATCGAAGAAGACAAAACAAAAGTTGTCTTTCAAAACCACTGGGCTCCTGACTTAATTAGTATATTTCTTTATACTTATATTTTTTTAACAAATAGAATGGTAGCATTTGTATCTAAAATGTGCCCCTGATGCCTCCTGTGTTTAGAGGTGGTGCTTTTAGAGTCAGGGTGCTCACCGGTGGATTAATCCATTGATGACTTCATAGTAACCCACTCATGAGTGCCTAGCTAAATGTATAGTTAGTGAGTGGGGCCTGTTGGAAGAGGTGGGTCACTGGGAATATAACCTGGAAGGGTCTAATCTTGTCCCTAAATCCTCTTTTTTCTCTCTGCTTTCTGGCTACCATGGGTTGAACAGTTTTTCCCTTGCTATGCCCTTCTACCATGTTGTTTCTTCATTGAAGATAGCTGGTCACACATGGACTGTGCCCTCTGAAACTGTTAGCCAAAATAAACCCATCTTTTTTTAAGTTGTGGATACTGGGTATTTTGTCCTACAAAAGTTAAAGAAAAACCCTTCAAGCTGCATCAACACCTACCTGGACCATTTTCAGATGAAACAATTTGTGGATGAAGAATGATATAAGGATGGATGGATGGAGGAGAGAGTTGAACAAATAGAAATGGAATAGGGCAAGAAGTTGCATGTGGAGACAAGAGAGGACAAAAGCAATGGGAAAACAGACAGGTAGGGAAAAGAACAGGAATGTAAAGTAGGAAAAGAAGTCAGGCTTTTGCTACGACCTAATCCATGCCTAGAAGTACATGCTAGTGATATGGCACATACAAAAACGGGAACAGAAAAGATGTCCCTTCATGCACAATAGGAGATTGAAGAAACATTTACACAATATTTATTGGGGTTGCCCCAGCAGCACACAGATGGCCACATCTGGTTGGGCCCATCCCTGCCTAGATTTACTCCCTCAGGGCGATGGAAGGAGAAGCACTGAAGCAGCCCAGTTCTCTGGCTTTACAGATGTTCATCTGCTGCTAGAAAACAATATCCAAGAGGAGCCAACTCAGCAGACAGAAAGTGAGCTCAATGTCAGATTTCCATGCCAGGAACAGGAGCTGTGGGTACACTGGAGAGTTGTAGCCAGTCAAACCCCAAATCTGCTCCTTGAAATGGTCAGAGAGGCCAGTGTGAGAGTCACCTACACTTCTCGGAAGGGGCTGGGCAAGGAAAAAAGATCAAAGCAAAAGCCCCAATGTAATTGTTACACATTACCCCCCACCTTTTTACACAAATTTATTATGAACTACTCAGAGTTCTCTTCTTAAATTTCCGAAGTTCAGAATCTGACTTCCTAGCACAGATATTTTCTGAAAATTAGACTGGGTACTTTCTTAAGAGCTACATTTGCAAGGTTACAGTGTGGTGTATACCTTGGCCTTTTGGGACACTCACTGGAGAGCTAATCAGTGGATTTGTTGTCTCCAGGAAACAGAGAAGGAAAACAATCAGCTCTGTTCTCCTCACGGGGCCAGGGGAGTGAGCCGTAATGAGGGAACACAGGAAGGCACTGCAGCCCGCAAGTCCGAACACACAGGTTAGCACCATCTGGCTGACCTAACTCACAGGTGCGCGGTTGCCTGGTAACGCTTGAGGCCTCCGGGTGCTTTTAGAAGCCCTGCAGTTGGGCTTGTAGAGGTGTGGGCACAGCCTGGGGTGATTGTGAGGGCAGGGCCAAGGGAGTCACTTTCAGGGCACCTGGCAGTGCAGGTAGCTGCTCCTCACCCCTGTGGCAAGTGGAAACAAGCCAGGCTTGACCTTAAAGTGTGGTTCTTCTTTCTTAGCTGAATGTGTGCTGGAAGGGATCTCTGATTAACAGTGATCTTATAGATGCAGAAGGGAGAAAATGGAACCTGCACCTTGCATTATAGGAAGTCTATCTATCTGTCCATCTACCTATCATCTATCTATCTAGCATCTGTCTATCATCTCTTATATTTATAGTTATATTCACATATGTTTGTATTCTACCCTTCATAAATCTATATTCTAAAAGTTCTTCTAAAGCTTGACACATTTATGAAGCACATTTTCACATATGTGAAGGACTATATATCTATGTATATATATTTTGTTTTTGGAACGAAGCACTGACTGGTTGAAAACATCTGGATTCTAACTTGAAGTGCGAAACTTTCTTTATCCTCAACATTAGCAGGGAGTCATCCATTCATTAGAGAGTCACATGAAATCTCAGATCCTTATGTATTGTAAGAAATCCAGCATCTCCTTCAGTCTCTAGGAATTCTTGAGGGTTTGGTTTTCTTTGCCTTCTGTGGCCTGTACTGCCTTCTTGCACAGGTGTAATTCAGATCATGAATCTTCACACAGTCTCTTTCATGTCTATAGTCTGCTACTTCTGAAATCATTTATTTGGAAAATTTATAAATCTGGGACATCTTGCACCTAAATGATACCAATTGAAAAGACTCACTTAGCTCTAAGCTAATTCTTACTTGTCTTTTGGTAGGTAGTGGTAATTATTAGTCAGCGTGTGTACTTTTAAGATTTGGTGTACATCTCGTTGGTCATGTATGGCCATACCACCCTGAACGAGCCTGATCTTGTCATTTCACTTGGTCAAGTGAGATTTAAGTGCATTGCTCCTAGGTACACTATTGTGGTTTGTGTCTGGATGTTCCCCAAAGCTGCATGCAGTCATGGGGGGAGGACTTTTCAAAGACAGCTCATTAAACCTGGACCTCTTCTTGTCCTGCCCTCACTTTGGGAAACAGAGTTGAAGCACTTCCAGCTCAACTCAGCAGGGGGCCAAGGGCCTAACTTTGTAAACATCCTCAGCCTGTACAAAAGACACAGAGATGGTGTGAGTGGTACACCCACCCTAGGGCGGGTAGCCTGCGTATAATATAAGGGAGGAAAACAGGCTTCCTTCCCCCAGTTTTGCTCTTGTTGTTTTCACTCTTTTCTCCCACCATGAATTCTTGCCCTTTAGGCTGTGCCACCCTGCTTTGGAGCCAGCTGATTACAGACTGAAATCTCCACACACTGTGAGCTAAATAAACTTCTCCTCCTTTAACTTTGGGTGTTGGGTGTTTTGTTCCAGCTATGAGGGAAAATAACCAAAACATGCACCATGAACAGATAGGTACATTGCTGCGATGTACAGCAGGATACATTGTGCATTGTTGTAGTTCTGGACTAGAACTAATTTACAAAAGCAGACCCAGTGTTTGACAAATCCATTATCTTTCAGACTCTGCTCCAATAAAGTAATTAGGCTCAGAAATGGGTGAATATTGGGATCTGGCTGGTATCTTTTAATCTATGTCTTTATAACTCTTGCCTGTGTGTAGAGTCTTTCTTTTTCACCTTGAGACATCCATCTGCTATGGAATCTGTTCAGAATGAAAACTAGATGAATTATCTCATCAGGTGATAGGGAAACTGAGAACTGGAGGTTGGAAGCAGGGGCAACCAAGCTGCTTTGTTAACTCCTGGAATTAGTCAGGCCAATAAGAAGATCACACAGGCCAACCTTCCTAGCCCAAGGGCCATAATTCTGCTTTATATGCTTGTGTCATGTGAGAAGAGATTTATAGGCATTCTTTCAACAATTATCTCACAAATATTTATCGAACACCTACTCCATTCTGAGGTCTGCAGAAACCAGAGATGCAAACAAGACACCTTTGCTTACTGTATTTCAGTACTGCTTCTTGTAACTGCTGCTAGATCACACCCAAGTATCTGTCCATGCACTGACTTACATAAAGATATATGTAAGCCAACACTGTTAGTATTTGCAAAGTCTAAGACCTGGAGATTTGGAGGCAGCTTATTTTCTGTAGACACATACTTTTATGTACCTTATACTAGAGTGAAACACAGGTTGCATTCATGTTAAAAAAAAACTTTAAAAATGTCGAAAACCAATCAACCAACCAAATAAAAAACTCCCATTATTCAGACAGAACTGAAGAGTAGGAGAAAGGGGCTTGAAAACATCTTTCATTAGTCAACCTATCTACTACCCTTGATTCTGGTACTGCAGGATCTTAGCATCAGATATACTTTCCAGAAGATATCTTTCTAAGAAAAGTAAAAATGCTGGTGTAGGAATGTTAATAGTTCAATAGTTGAAATTTTTCTGTCTTGATCATCACCAACTCCAAAGTCTAAAATATGGGTAGAGATGCTTAGTTCATTAAAGAGATGCTGTGTTTGGCATAAAAGATACAAATATGCTTTTGGTAGCTGTCATCATCAATGATGTTATAGCTCACCTGTGCGCATGAGGAAAGTAGAAGCTTTGTAAGGCCTCTGGCCGATTCCCAGAGGTTCATAGAGTGCCAAAGATGAGGGCTTGGGCAAGAGCTTCTGTTTCCAAACATGTCAGCTCTCTTTAGCCATTGGAACTTCTCCCTCAAGTGGGGGCATGGGGTTTCAAGTGAGCTTAGTGGATTCACAGAAAGAGTTTCTCTATGTGAACTCCAGAGCACTGTTACCCAAGCTGTCAAAACTTGGTCCTCCTATAATGCTTTTTTATTTCATCTTCTAGAGAATCGAGGCCAGTCAAAAACAAAACAAAACAAAACAAAACAAAACAAAACTATGTCATCCAGCTGTAGATTCTCTGTTTTAAAGGCACTGAGCATATTGGATATTCTTTATCAAACTCCTTACAAGCTAATATGCTAACCTTCTGGAAATTCTAAAATGGCTCCCTTCCCTAGGGGACCCACAAACCAGTTCTCCTTGCACAATCCCAGTTTGTTCTTGTTGTTCTGGAATAAATATTACTATTGAGTGCCAATTTACCTCTCAGATGTGTTCTAATATGAAGGGTAAAGAGTAGGGCACCTTGTTTTTAACCTGAATCTTAATCTCCCACCACTTAAGAGTAATTCCTCCAGGATCTCCCTGATTTTGCCTTTATAATGCATAGGAATTGGGGTAAATCCATCTAATCTCCCCACAGTTCCGTATGATCATCTATATTGCAGTTGTGTGGATCAATATCATCTACTTTGTCTCCAGTACCACACATAAATTGTTAATCCAACCAATCAGATTATTTTCATTACAATTTTGGGAGTTTATTTTATTTCTCAGAGCTTGATGGGATGACTAGATGTTGGAGGATTTTTCATAATCCATAGCTAAAATATGGAGGATTCTTCATGCCACTCTACGAGCTCTGGGCTTCATGCAAAGTAGAGGAGAATGACACTGTTTTCCCAGGAGGTCAGTAACGTGAGTAAATATTTGCTTTAAAACAGCATATTGCAATAATATGGAGGAGTATAAATTGAAACAGTTAACAATGAGCTTCGACTGGGGTATAACTTCTCTGTGAGAAATCTTAAAACTAACATTCTCTTGAACTCAAATGAGAACAAACTGTTACTGTTAATGAATTTCAGTTAGATTCCTACCACCTCTGCTTAAATTTCTTAAAAGATAGACCATTGTGGTAGTACTTCCTTGGCTAGCATCTTTTGATAAGTTTTGTGTGTACTACTAACAAAGTACCACAGTATCCCAGAGTAGCTTGCCTTTCAGTGGTGAATCAGGTGATTCCCATGTGCTAGGATAGAAATTGCTAACTGCTTGGGGACTCATCAGGATGAAAGAAGCTTTATTTATTGTCCTTTGAGATGAAAGATGCATAATTTATAAAACTAGGATTACTATTTTATTTACTCTTGTGATGCTGGAATCACATTCTTTTCCAGTGATGGAACTGCAGAATCCTTTTTAATTTGTGGACAAGTGGCTTACTAGAAATTGCAGAGTTGGAGGGGTCCGGCTACACAAAAGTGGGTGTTGTGTGAAAGGAGCAGTATGCTCCTTTTGTTGTTAACACAAAGGCTCTATTCTCTTGCTTACAAGTGTTAGTGAGATGTGAAGCATGTGTGCATGAGGTAGAAATATTGGCTCTTGGTATGTTCATGGAGGCGTATGGTTTATGATGACATCATTAGGTACATTCTGTAAAAGTGTCTCAAAATATCATAGTCATAGACTTGGCGGAGCCTTCTTTCCCAGTGGCCCAGGACCTCTGTATGGCCTTCTTCTGTGTTTCCAGGCAATTACATGTTTTCAGCATCTACACATACAAATAATATCACATTTAGGAATGTGTCAGTGTGCTTTGTTATGAAAACTTCAGGATTTTTGTTGGCTGGAAATCTATTTGCAGCTTTGTCAGGAAGGTCAGTTTTGGTTGTTAGTTTTCTTGCTTTTATTTTATTTTTTTTTCCTCCGGTACCGGGAACCGAACTCATGACCTTGCGCTTGCCAGGCAGGCGCTTTTGCCACTGAGCTAAATCCCCAGCCCCTTTTTCTTGCTTTTAATAAAAAGATGTGGCTCACTTCTTGGCAGCAAGGTGTGGGACAGTTTTCTTTGATTTTGTTTTTTATGTGTACCTATACACGCCCGTGTCAGATGGTTTGTGTGTAGATCAGGGTGAGGCAGAAATGTTAAACTGTTTTCTACTGGATTTTGCCCACAACATACCTTTCTTTCCCTTCTTGTGGAACCTATGTCATCTCCTCAATGTTACAGCACATGGCAACAGAGCACATTTGGAAATTAAAGGGTTAG